TGAGAAACATCAAGATAAGACATACCCACTTTTTTTTTTTTTTTTAAATGATGGCTGGGAAATTTTTTTTTTCTTTTAATCCTTACCTGAGGATATTTTTTCCATTGCTTTTTCAGAGAGAGTGGAAGGGAGAGAGAGACAGAGAGATACATTGATGTGAGAGAGACACATCAATTGATTGCCTTGAGCCCTGAGGGATAAAGCCTGGGAAAGCAGAGGGGAGCCACAGGAGGAGACCTGAGTCATTTGGAGATGGAGCAAAGTACTTGTAATGTTGCCCACTTACCTCCCACCTTCATTCTAGGAGACCAAAGTCAAAGTGTGCTCGTGTGTGTTCATGGAGAGAGTAGAGGAGAAACAATTTAAACAGTGAATTATGTCCATAGGGATTAAAGGCCTTAAGGAATGAAAAATTTGTTGTTGTTTGCATACATTAAACCTTACTTTTTGTACCATGCAGTTCTCAGGTTTTGAAAAATGCAGAGAATCATGTATCCGCTACCCTAGGACCGTACAAAACAGTCTGATCTTCCTAAACATTTGCTTGAGCATCCCCTCTGTAGTCAACCACACCCCCTGTACCTGCCCCTGGCAACCACTGAATGATGAATTGAATTCTTAACAGTAAATTGAATTCTAAAAAACAGATTAAAATGTAGGGGCAAGACATTGCAAGCAGATGGAACATTAAGAACAAAGAACTAGAGACTGTTTTTAAAAACCAACAATCAGCCACCTCGCACTGTGCCTCAATGATTTGCATGGAATGCAGTAGATGGTCTGAAATGTTGGCTGAATTGTTGGTTAGTTGCTTAGTTTGTTGAATCAATGAACTGTGTGATCTTGACATCTCTAAGCTCCAGTTTCCTCATCTATAAAATAGGGGTGATCCAACTCAGGGTTTATTCATTCATTCAACAAATATTTTTGAGTTTCTACTATGTGCCTGGCACTGTTCTAGGCACTAGGGGTGTAACAATGAACAAAACAGACAAGGATTCCTGTCCTTGTGTTGCTTATATTTGTTGCTTATTTCTACTTTATAGAGAAATAATAAAGGTGTTTAGAAGGAGATATGCACTGTGGGAAAAGTGGAACAAGGTAATGGAGATAGGAATATGTTAGGGACCTACTTTCTCATGTAGGGTGGTTAGAGCTTCGCTGGGTGAAAGAGCGAAGGGCACAGGTGTCTGGGTAGGACTGCTCCAGGCAGAGGTGGCCTCCAAGAGGAGCCAGGAAGCCAGTGGGGCTGGACAGAGACATGAGGTCAGACAGCCTAGCATCTTGTAGGCCTGGCATTTTTATTCCTAGTGAACCAGAAAGTCATCTCAGAGGATGACTTGAGCCGAGGAATTACACGATCTGACTTAGGTTGTTGTTATGGCTTTAAATTATTATATTAAATATTAAGATGAATATTAACTATTTAAAAAGGACCTGGCACAGAGCCTGGAACATGGCTTGTATGTCTCCTGACTCTTCACAATGGGGGCTGCATTCCTTGATGTGCAGGCAGAGGTGTGAGGGCCTCGGTAGAGAAGGCACTGACCTTTCCAGTCGCTGGCGCCCTCTCCTGGAGGAGCCTGCACTAGCTGTGACAGCAGGAAGCCATCAGACTGGCCAGGCCTGTCACCCAGGGCAGCTGTCTGCAAAGCGCTCATCTGTCCCTCAGAATGCACCCCACACTGCCCCGCGGCCTGGCGCCAGGCTGGGTGTGTGCTGCCAGTCTGCCCTGACTAGCAATCACAAGCCTATGGTGTCATGGAAAGAGAACTGGGCTCTGGAGGCCAAGGAACCTGGGGCCCAGTCCTCCTCTGCCATGGATATGCTGTGTGACCTTGGCAGTTCTCCCCACCTCTCTGGGCAGTGGAGAGCTTCCTCTTATTCATAATGATACACCATGTGCCTGGAACATGGTAAAAGCTCAGTAAATGTTGGTTGAATCAGTGAATAAAGTGGGGACCATCAGCCTTTCTGATAAATATTTAATTTAGAGAAAAGGAAACAAAAGTGCCCAGTGGGTATTCATTCAACAAGTATTTAAATATTTAATGAGCCCCTTCTATGGACCAAGCACTCTTATGGGCACCAGGGATACAGTAGTGAATAAAAACCTTGCCCTTGGGTAGCTGACATTTTAGGTGTTGAGCCAAAGGTCACTGATATACTTGCATACGTCTCCTGGGTGAGTTTTGGGGGGTGGGGGCAAGAAAGTGGTGAATGGGTGTGATGCATCATCCCAAGGGGTGGGGGGTAGGGCAGCCAGAGTAGACAGACAGGGCAGGAAAGTGGCCCCTGAGGCTTCGGTTCCTGGCTTAGGAACCTGCTTGCCTCCACAGTCCTTCCTACTCCTCCAGTTGGTCTGAAACTGGTCCTGTGGCTCTAGTGGGAAGCCGTCAGTCCTTGTTTCTCAATGTTCTGAGTCTTGGAGGAGAAGACGCCAGGCGTCCCCAGTAGCAGGGAGAGGCTCAGCCATGAGTGATGGTGATGGGTGTATGTGTATGACCACAAAACTCAGATCTTCTTTGGTTTACTTTTTTTTTTTTAATGTTTGTAATTGATTTTTAGAGAGAGGAAGGGAGAAGGAGAGAGAGATAGAAACATCAATGGTGAGAAACATAGATTGGCTGCCTCCTGCACACCCCCTACTGGGGATCGAGCCTGCAATCCCGGCATGTGCCCCTATGGGGAATCGAACCAGTGACCTTTTGATGCATGGCTCAACCACTTAGCCAAATCAGCTGGGCATTTGGTTTACTTTTGTCCATCCTCTAGGAGCGCTGCACCTGTCTCCCACCCTAGCTTCCTTGGGTCACTGTCCAGCTCCCAAGGAAAGAGAAAAACCGAGCACTCAGAACCAGAATTTCTAGTCCCAGGAGGGCTCTGCTAGGAGAATGCTTCCCTACTGCGGGACACAGGGTGGGTCTGGGCCTCCTCTCTTCTCTGAGGACAAGTGTGTAGTCATCACAGGACACAGAGGTGTGCTGAGAAGGAAGGGCTTTCTGATTTTCAGAGCTGTCCCCAGCTGGAAGGGGCCACCATGGAGGTAGTGAGTTCTCTGACACCAGAGACATTCAAGCAGAGCTTGACGATTGCCCCTCAAGGTGTTGGGGCAAGGCTGGGGAGGGGCTTTCAGTATTGTGGGGATCATGGCCTTCCAGGTCTGACTCGGAGTCTAAGACTCCTACACTCCCTCCACCTTGGTGACTCGTTGGCATCTAAGCTTTTCTTTGGAGGATGGCGCTGCCTTTCAGACCTTCCCTGACCTTTGTGTCCCTTTGTCCTTCAGGTGGTAGGTTAGTGCACATAACTCATCCAGGGGAAAAAAGGAGTCTGGAGGCTCAATAAATTACTCAAAGATACACACACCACCTTTTATCCAGCTGGGCACAGCCTCCCCCAGGTGTTCTCTCACAGAGAGACTAACTTAGATTCCAGGGTCCCCAGCAGGCTCAAGGACAAGGAGCCCCTCACCTACCTCTCCTCCTCTATCCCAGTGTAAAGACCTCTAATTTCATGTGGAGCTCTGCTACAGGTTGAGGGGGTAGTTCTGGGGTCTGCAGGGTTCACCCCATTGGAGCACTGGGGAAAAGCAATGATCATGAGTAGACAGTTGCCCAGAATGGGGACCAGAGGTACAGGCCCAGATGTTTCCAGGCCAAAGGTGAAGAAACACTAAGGAGCCTTGCCGGAGTAGCTCAGTTGGTTGAGTGTTGTCTGAAAGGTTGCTGATTTGATTCCTGGTCAGGGCACATATCCAGGTTGTGGGTTTGATCCCAGGTTGGGGCACATATGGAAGGCAGCCAATGAATGTTTCTCTCTCTCTCTTTCTCTCTTCCTTCCTCTCTCTATGTGTGTCCTCAGGTGAGGATTTTTTAAAAAAAGAAACACCAAGGAGAAGGGAGTCTTCTTGGAGGGAGGGACTACACAGCCCAGAGGGGAAGGGGCAACTTGTGAGCAAGGAGTGCATCCAAGGAGGGGAGAGAGATACCAGAAAAGCTTTTGGAAGTTTCTAGAAAAAACCTACTTAGGAACACCAGAGTAGGCACTTTAAGACTAAAATCCCATTTGGTTTATTTTACCTACAGTCTGAATTTATTGTTTGTGATCTCTACCCTCTTCCCCAACTCTGAAGGGTAATCTCTCAACCTGTGAAGAGCATCAGGAAAGCTGAGGCCTACATGGATCCATCAAGCTTCCTAAATCCTTGATCCACCTGGAATTTATTTTTTGGAAGGAGTGAAAAGAGAGACAGCCTTAATCCTGTCCCCTGTGGCCAGCCAATTGCCCCCAGGCCCTATGTTAAATAATTAAGGTTTCCCCACAGAAACCTTTAACATATGGATGTGAATGTTTTATTCCACAATTTCCTAATTTTCTTTTCATATGTCCTACATTCCCCTCCCACCTTCCCAGATTCTCCCCAAATTTCCCTTTAGCGTTTTATTGAGATAGCATTGCATTAAAGTGATAAATTAATGAAGGGACAGCTTTAGAATACTGGGTCTTCTCTAAGAACAAGATAAAGCTTTTCATTTTCCTTAACATTGTCACTTTTCCTGAATTCGCCCTTGTGCATAACAGGTGCTTAGGCGGTTTTCATGGAAAGGGTGTAAGCTGCTTTGGGGAAGGAACTGGGGGAGGAGCCCTACTTCAGAGCCAGTCTGTGGGGGGCGGTGGTGACCTTCAAAAAGAACAGCAGGTGGCATCCCTGCTCCCTGATTATCTGAATGGGGTAAGAGGCCCAAGGGGGGCAGTCCCAGAATTGGGGCCTAATTGGAGGTATGTGTGGTTTCCCAACAAAGGCCCTGTCCAGCTCCCTCCCCTAAATGCTGCCCACGTAAAACAAGGCTGGGAGGCTCTGGGAACAGGAGAGGTGACAGACCCTGGGGGACAGTCTGGCTGGCCAGGAGGGCAGCACAATCCATCACAGGGCACAGTTTGACAGGGCTCAGGGGCCCCTAGAGGAGACCTGGCAGTCAAAACAACAGGGGACATGCTAGGCTTGTGCTTCTCTTTTATTGTTTCTGTCCAGCCCCTGCAGCGGGGGAGGGGCAGGCATGGGGAGGTGGGTGCCCCTGCCACCTGCCTGAGACCACTCTGCCTCTGTCCTCTCCTTTCCTCTCAGCATCTTGCCTACCCTCACTCCTTCTGAATCTCCTGCTCCCACATCTGGCACCTTCGGGGGTTCCTTCTTGCAGCCCCTGCTTTCTAAGCCTACCCTGGGAATGGAAGGGATTATGGGGTTAATTTAGTGCCCCTCTCTCCACAGGGGACTAGTCCCCCAGTTACCTGCCCGGCTTACTGAGGAGTCCCTTTCTTTCTCTGACCTGGTCTGGGGTGTGGGGAGGTCCACTCCATGGGTCCCAACACCCTTCTGGGGTGAGGGACTCTCTCCAAAGCCAGAGGCTAGAGCCTGAGGTCACAGAGGTGGGAGGGGCAGGGCCACTGCTCTGCCTTGGCTCTCTCACTTCCAACATCTAGGACTCACATTACTGGGGGCTCCTTGAGCCGGGCAGGGATAGGCCATGTTCCCTGTGGGGACCATGAGGGGTGGTGGTGAACAGGGGTCAGAAGCTGTGAGAGGAGCACTGTGGCTGGGTGTGGTGCTCTGGGATGGAAGGAGGCTGGCTTCAGGAGGCAGTGAGGACAGGGGCAAGGACGGTCTCTGGTGGCAGAGGGGTCTCTGGCTTTAGAGCACCTCGTGCTGCTGCTGTGTGGCCTCGCTGACAACCTGGGGAGGAAGAGAGCACAGTCCAATCCAGTGCTGGCAGGAGAATGGAGCCACAGCCGCCCACCCCCACCCCAGAACAGCAGGACCCCCTCCCTTCAGACAAGGACCCAGACAAGCACAGCTGGCAGAAAGCACCTGGCTGACAGCTTCCCAGACACCCTCATGGCCCCCACCAAAGGCAAGGGGACCAAGCAGACTGCTCACCTCCCCATCCCGGGTCTCGATGGTCTTGATCATCACTGTCTTCTTGGTATGGACCTCGGAACCCCTCTGTTCAGGGCTTGTTTCTGTAACAGATCCATCCACATGCTCAGCCTGACCAAGTCCAGGCTCAGACTGTTCCAGGGGTTGGGAGTCCGTCCCTGGTCCCACCGGGCAGAGCCCAGAAGACTCCCCCCCCTTTCCAGATGGGCCTGGTACTTTTTCAGCAGGACATTTATCACCTGTCCTTGAGCCCAGCTAGTGGCTCTGCAGACCCCAGGGTTAGTCCCACAGCTGAGATGGGATCAGGAACCAACAGATGTGCTCCAGGTGTGGACTGGTTCAGGAGCCCAGGCCACGCAGCACTCCCATCCCTCACATATCTCCTTGTTCCCTTTCTACCCCTGGGCTGCAGGAGAGCTCAGCATGAATTTTTACCCTAACAGAACCCCAAAGCCCAGTCTCCAAGATACTCTCTTGGAGGCCTGGTACCCAGCCGCCTTTAAGACTCCAGATGACTAATTTGATGTCTTAAAGAGAGTCGGACAGGAGTCAGTCACTGATTCACTGTGTTGGTAGCCAGTGACTGGCCCTCTGTGCCTCAATTTCTTCATTGTGAAATGGTAGCAATGATACTTGCCCTATCATGGCCACAGGACTATTAATTTCAAAAAGCATGAAGCCATTTTAAGTGTAAGGCTCACACTTAGTGTCTGTATAAACGACTAACTGAAAAGAGAGGTTCTGAGTTTTATAGGGTCAAGTTTAGGTCCTTGGTACTAAGAGTTTGGTTTTCGTGAATCTCCTTCTAGAGCAACCAGCCAGTGATGAACGTTGTGACTCGGTGGAGCCAGCATGTTTTTTTCCCTGATGCAAATGAACATCGAAGATATAAACTGTTTGATCTAGGAAAGGCGAAGCTGCCAAGGACTCCGACTTCCTTTCCTAATGTATCATTATAGTGTGTTTTTCTGTTCTCCAGGGTTGGAAAGCCATGCGATCTGCATATTACTAATGGCAGAATGGCAGAATGCCCTAACAGCTCCATCTTCTCATTGTTTGGCTTTGCTAAGGTTTGGCTTCATTGTTATAAACCTGCATCCAACATCTTATTCTAGCAAACTGGAGGTGTTCAACAAGCAGCGGAGAGGGGTGGAGTGGCACTTGGCAACTTGCTAAACAGACAATGGGTGGTTGGTGCCTTATAGCCCAGGGAGTATGGATCTAGATGCTTCTGCTGCCAGGTCTCCAAGGACACCCCTAGTTTTTACAGAGTCTGGGTATATCAGCAAACAGTTTCTGTTTCATACTCAATACTTCCAGAAGGCGCAGTGGACATCGTCAATACAATACCATAAAATAAAACAAAATAAAATAATCTCTTTGTCAGAAGATGCCTCTACCTAAACTGCCCCCACCGCAGCAGCCCCCTTTCTCTTCCCCGGGCCCCAGTGCTGCCCCCACAGTTCCGTCCCCCCTCCTGGCGGGCCTTGGGCACTGCCCATGCTGGATTCCTGCCCCTCACCAGCCCAGCCTCCACCTGCCCACATGCACTCACCTCGAAAGTTGAGGGTAGAGAAGGTCTGGATAGGGAGGTTGATCCTGAAAGGGGAGAGATCAAATCCCCCAAAGGTTAGGACCCTCCACCAATCCCTGCGACCACCTATCAAAGCTTGCCCTGGTCTTCTCTAAACACCACCCGAAGCTGTCCAGTCCCAGGGACCCCAGCACTCCCACTGCCACACTGCTCAGGGCATAGGGTCAAAGGCCAACTTTAGCTGTCCCAGGAAATGTCCCTTCTGGAAGGATCACCCATTCCATCTCTAACCTGCTGGCATGACACCGACACCCCCAATCCCACTGCACTCTCCAGTTCAGGGTTTCCTTCTTGCTCCTGACACAGCAGGAAGTACGATAGCAGCTCTGGGGGACACCATTGTGTGTGCCCACCCTCCAGCCAGGCTGGGAACCTTTGGCCCACCCACGTGAGGCCAAGTTCCAGGAACTGCCAGTTAGCTACCTTAAAATGTCATTATATGTCCGTGTTATTCTACAAAATCTGAAATCTATGTGTAAGTCTACATCTATACATGTCTGCTGATTTTTAAAAAATTTCCGATATTATCATTTTTATGAGTATCAATAGGCATCCCCTTTTTTTTTAGTTTAGTTTACATACAGTGAAATGCACAGATCTTTAGTGTGCAATCTGGTGAGTTTTGATCAGGGTCTACATCCATGAAACTACAAATCTAAATAAAAATATAGAACATTTCCTTCACCCCAGCAGGTGACCCCGTGTTCCCTTCCAACTGTATGCTATTTTCTGTGTCTAGAGGTGAACTGACATGTCTGAGCATGTCATTCTGGGTCTTTGCCCACGAGCATGGGTGTGTGTATGTGTGTGTGTGCACATGTGCGCCCTCAGTATACAAGTCTGCACCCTCTCTCTCAGCCTGTATCCAAGGCTCTCCGTCTCTGCCTTTATCTGGCCCCTCCCTTTCCTGCCTCATCCTTCCCCACTTTGCTCTCATCTCTCCCTTGACTGGCAGTAATATTTTATTACCATTTGCTGAACATGGTTTTATGCTGCTGGTTCTTAATTCTGAAGGCAGATGAGGGAATAGTTATATTTCTCTTTTTATAAAAGCTATTAATTAAATCACTTTTTACCCAGGTGGCCTTGGTTAATTCTCTGCAATTAGTGGAGTGGTGGCCTCTTGTATAAAATTGTTTCCAGATCTTGTTGAGTTGATCCTGAGCACCCACTGGGGCAGGAATGGGCCCCCCAGCGTCTCCCAGACCCCCCCCCACCAGCCCTGCCTTGTCCCTCACCGGCTCTCCTCGCCCTCCAGCAGCTTCCGGTAGGTGGCGATCTCCACGTCCAGGGCCATCTTGACATTGAGCAGGTCCTGGTACTCGCGCAGATGGCGGGCCATCTCATCCTTCAAGTGGCGGATCTCCTCTTCTAGGCGAGCGATGTTGTCCTGGTAGCCGCTGGCCTCACTAGCGAAGCGGTCCTCCAGCTCCCGCATCTGCCTCATCAGGGAATCATTCTGCAGGGGAGGGACGCCCAGGTCAAGGTCAGGTTGTTTTAAGTGGGGATTCGCTGGGGGTCCAGGATGGGGGAAAGACAGACTCAGGGCTGGGAGGCAACCTTGGATGGTCAGATCCAGGAGTTTTCAAACTCTTTTGAGCCAAGGAACCCTGAACTCGAAATGTCATGAGGAAACTCAGAGAACAGAAGGCAAAAGGCAGCATCGCTGTTCGGCCTCCGCGCCCCCACACAAGGCAAGCCACCTGTTCTTCCCCTTGTGGTGGATTTGAGGAGACAGGGGCCCAGAGAGGGCATGTGATAGGCCTAAGGTCACAGAGTGAGGGTGGGAGCTGCAGGCAGAAGGAGCTGGGCCAACCAAGGTGGGCAGGGACTCACAGTGCCTTTGAGGGCATCGATCTCGCAGGTATAGGACTGGATCTGGTGCCGGTACTCCATCATCTCCTGCTTGGCCTGGCGCAGCGCATCGTTGTTTTTGTTGGCTGCCTGGGTCAGGTCGGACACCTAAGGGCAGAGAGGGGCCCTGAGATGAGGAAGATGCAGGTTGCAGGTCGGGCTAGACCAGAGAGCATGGAGACCCCGCTCACCCTCCTCCCATGGATGGAGCCACAGGAAACACTTCCAGACTGGGATTGAGGGGGACACAGGGGCCAGGCCACCCACCTTCGACTTGTACCACTCCTCGGCTTCGGAGATGTTCTTAGCCGCGATGGTCTCGTACTGGGCCCGGATGTCCCTGAGGGCAGCAGTGAGGTCTGGCTTGGTCATGTCCATCTCCACGTGGACCTGCTGTTCCTGAAGCTGGGCCTGGAGCTCTCGGATCTCCTGAAAGGTGCATCTGGGCTTCAGTCCCCTACCAGGCCCCACACAGCATCCTCACACCCCCATTCCCAGAGCCCAGCACCACCATTCCCCCTTCCTGCCTGCTTTCACCAGCGGCTAAGGGCCCTGAGGAGGAGGGCCCAGAGCATACCTCTTCATGCACTTTCTTAAGGAACGCGATTTCCTCGTTGAGAGATTCGATCCTGCGCTCCAGGTCAATTCGAGCTAGAGTGGCTGCATCCACATCCTGGGAGAGGTCAAGCAAGAGGGACAGGGTGACCCACACAGGGCTGAGGCAGACCAGGGGCCACACCGGGGGCACGGACGGGGGATGACGGACGGACACAGGGGTAAGGATGCTGGAGATCAAAGAGGGCTCACCGATCGAAAGGCAGCCAAGTTGTTCTCTGCTTCTTCTTTCAGTTGAATCTCCTCTTGCAGCCTAGTGGGGGCAGACAGACAGACAGAAGGATAGATAGTCAGTGAAGATAAAACTGCCCTGGAGATGACTGGCCTGGGGGCTGCCCAGAGAGTGGGCTGAGAGCAGAGAAAGGAGGCCTGGCAGCCTGGTAGAGACAGTAGAGGCCCTGCCCAACTGAGAGAGGACAGGAAGTGGCCCAATCTCTGCCCCAGAGCCACACCCTGGAAGTCTATGTCCCCATCAGACTGTGACCTCGCTGAGATTAGGAAGCATGGTTATTTTAACCACTTCTATGTTCCTGGTTCCTAGCCCCGGCTTGGCCCACATAGGTGCTCAGTTCATGTTTGTGACCTGGGTGGCAGGGTGGTGACTCTGCCCACTTGGGCTGTCGGAAGCAGGACCCACGAGCACTTGCTCTATACTTGCCCTTTTGTACTGGGAGCCCAGTGGAGCCCCCCATCCGGTCCTCCCAGCTTTCTGAGGGCTGCAGCCCCCCACCGACTCTCCCCTGTCCTTTGGATTATCTGCTCCCCTGTGAAACGGCACAGCCTCAGCCAGGCCCCCAGCCAAGATCCCCACTATACCCCCTCCCCAGGGTCTCATCACAGAGAAGCTGAGAGCTACTGCTTGGGTTCCGCACCCCCTGCCCTTCCCAGCGGGCCCCAGATTTCCTCTCAACCTCCCCTTTTCCCCTCTGACTGAACTGGGCCTCCTTCCTCCACCCATCTGTCTGCCTGACCGCCATCAACATCACCCCATCTTCTTAAGATGCCTTTTAAGGGGGGCTGCCCACAGGGCACCTGTTCTTCCAGGGTCTCCCATTTCCACCCCAGGATGCCTCCAAGAAAACTCTTTTGCAGAGTGGGAGAGGCCTGGAGTCCATCTCCGCTCGGGGGGCGTGAGCAGGCCTTGGAAAGGGGGTTCTGGGAGCGCCCGGCTCTCACCTGACTTTAAGCCGCTGCAGGTCGTCCAGCAGGTTGTCGCGCTCGAGGTCCACGCGGGAGCGCTGGTTGCTGAGCACGTCCACCTGGCGCCGCAGCTCGCGCAGCTCCTCCTCGTAGATCTCGGCCACCCGCGTGGGCTCGCGGCCCTTGAGCCGGTTGACCTCGGCGGCCAGCACCGCGTTCTGCTGCTCCAGGAAGCGCACCTTCTCGATGTAGTTGGCGAAGCGGTCGTTGAGCTCCTGCAGCTCCGCCTTCTCGTTGGTGCGCGTGGTCAGGAACTCCTGGTTCACGGCGTCGGCCAGCGAGAAGTCCAGCAGCTCGCCCGCGCCGTAGGAGGAG